TGAGACTCGCAGTCGAAGCGGGGCCACAATTCCACCCCTCAATCCGAGCATGACAGCAGCACCGTCGGTGCTGATCTCAGCAAGCTTGCGTAGGTTCAGTCCGACAGCCTGAAGATGGGAGAGGAGTAAAGCGAGAAGAGATGAAGCATTAGCCTTGTCCACCATCAGATGTGCAAGAAGCTCAGTGACCTGACAACCCTCGCGGATGAATGTGACAAACACAATCATGTGTTAGCCACGCCGACGGTCGGTGCTCTCATCCAAGCTAATCTTGAAGAAAGGACTAGCAAGGAGGTGGTCGAGCTGGGTCATGCGAAGCCAGGTTGTCAGCGCCTAGGTGAACTAGCCGAAGCCGTACCTGCTAAAGAGGAAACATAACTATTCAGGTAATTGAACATGTAACAAAAGAATGATGCCTAGGTTTTCATGGGTAGCGAGAAACAGGGTTACGAGATAGTCACGAACGCATTGTAGTAGGTACCTTAGCCCTGCTTGAGAAACCCCTTGAACTTCCGGGAGGAGAGGTAGTGCACGAGCCTAATCCAGGTCTCCATCGGCTCGAGTGACTGTAGAAATACATGACAATGAGCGTAGACACGTGGAGCCGCTCCAACTCTTGTGTGAGAGGATGCTGGTCAATGCGCTGTTGCGATGTGCCTTGTTGCAGCAGATTCACTTGACAAGTGAGGGCGAGCTGGTGGCGTATGGTTCCCGCGTGCTTCTTGAAAGCTTGGACTTGCACATCTGTTGCGCCCTTGCCCTTCCGTCCCGTTTTCCCCTTCAAGCTTGCGTGTTTGGTACACACTGAACACTTGAAAGTATGGCCACCAACGTCAGTCTTACTTAGCAGAAGCCATGGATATGCACTCTGCCAGTGCGTCTGATACTTATCGAGAGCGTCAGCGTAGAGCTCGGCAGGAGACAGGCGTTTCTTTGCCGACATTGGGACGGCAGAGCCGTCCTCCGTGTCCTCATCCTCCTCAGTCTCCGACGATGGTGGGTCAGGTTGCTTGGGAGGGGGGGCGAACAACAAGCGGACCTACCGATAACGACCACAGGCCTTGACAGGGAAACCGAAGCCGGCAACTGGGAGCAATGCTCAATCGAGACAAGAGGCAGGGCGGGCCGGTGTAGTAGATGCATTTGATCGCACGGGACGCGTAGATGTATACGGGGAAGTTGTTGCATAGTCAAGCCTACTAGAAGAGGGACGGATGGGCTTGACTGGAACACACGGCAGGCCAGGAGCAACTACTAAGCACGCCCTCAGGAGATCAAGACCAGTACACGCTTCGGCGGCCGTCTCATCATTTTCACTGCCTACAGCAGTGCTATCGGCGCCCGATTCTGCCATGGCAAGAGGGCAGAATCCGCAGATTCTCTAGTGAGAAACTGGCGTGGAGGGCGTTTACGAAACTAGAGGCGAAATGAAGGCATGGTGCGAGAAGACAGCGCACCCTAAGTGGGCGATGGGAAAGACGAGTGTGGGGGGGGGGGGGGGAGTTTATTCATTGTGTTCAGCTGAACAACGCGGTGCACCATCCTTGCCAAACATGCAAGGGAGGAGGCGGTTCTCCCAGACAGATCCATGCATCTCGTGCTTTGGCAGAGCATCTTCTGCCGCCCACGCCCAGGGTCAGAGTATCAATGTCTGTGATTGGGTCATGTGACCGAAATTTGGTCAAGTCCCTATCACATGTTGTCGTTTCATCTGAGTTGGCGACAGCGGGGCGGAAGTTGCTTGTAACTGCCGCGCTTCCGAGACAACTCACAGAAACTTTGCGAGATTGATGGGGGATACCAGTTTACGTACCGCTAATCCCGGGGGGGGGGGGGGGGGGGGAATCACAGTATACGCGGTTTCAGCCCCATCCCTGTCAGCTTTGCTGAACCATCAGCGTATACCTCAGCAAAATCTATGAAAATACAGATTTGATGTTTACAAAAAACCTTTCCAAACAGCCTTGATGCCCACAAAAAGCCCAACCAATCAGCATAACACAAGGAAAAAAACATGAAAAAGGCAGAATCAACGTGAAAAGTCTGATATCTAGGGGCCTGGTCCAGTGGGTATTTTGCCTTTTATGGGCGACCTGCACAACAATAGCAACAATATCAACAAGGGAAAGTATATCCGCGCTTCATATTAGGAGCCCCGTTAATAAGTACGGCTAGCAAAACGATATATGTACTCAGAATAGTGAATATGCAACACATCCAGTCAGTCAGGTTCCACAATTAGTCAGTGAATGCAGGAAAAATGTTCCGCAATTGATCAGTTGACATAACCCCCGCCCGGTTCGGGAAGATTTCCCGCTCGCGCCAGCCCCATTTCGTCATCCTTGTGGCTGGCGCGAAAAAAAACGCCCCCCCTCGTAATGACGTGGCACACACGTAAATCAAACGCATTCGAAGGCTTGTCAATGAGAAACAACTAAGATTTCTACAGAAGATACCAATGCCTTAATCTTCGTCATCATTTACGGCCACAACCCGTGGTACTTTCCGAGTCACGCCAGAACGTCAAATGAATAGACATATATATATATAAATATATATATCAACATAAGAAAACTTATGAGCGTGATTACTTATGAAGATATTGCTTTACCATGGAATTGGTGCCTATAGGGCTAGCATATTTATTTTTATTAGCTACCCTATCTACCCCTCTATTGTTTGGTATTTTCAGAGGAAATTGCCAATCACAATTGTGTTTTCCATAGCTTTTTGGCCAGTTATGACTCTACAAGATTGTCGTGTCAGTTCCAAAGCATATGACCGCACGCAAACGAAAGTTGAATAATCTCGCCTCTTATTGGTTCAACACCGATTTTGGATAGATGTGCACAATTTTGGCGGATTTCTGTTTGTCTGTTTCTGTATTTTTATGTTACGCGCAATGTGCGGCGTGCGAGCTCATATTTTTTCGTTTTCGTTCTGTTTTGAACTCGTTTTAATCATTCTCTTGTACATCGCGCATGTGTCAAATTGCAGGCTCACGCACCAGCCACAATGATGACGAAATTGGGCTGGCACGAGTGGGAAATTTTCTACAACCGACGGGGAGGGGGGGTGGGGCTTACGTCGACTGACCAATTGTGGAGCCTTTTTCCTGCATATTCTAGGTAATCGTGGAACATGACTGACTGAATGTGTTGCAAATTCACTAATTCTGAGTACATATATCATTTCACCGACCGTACGTATTAACAGGGCTCCTAATACTGGGCACAGATATACTTTCCCAAGCAACAACATTAGACGGCAGAAGAAAGACTGTTTGCTGCTACACAAGCTGTTATTAATCAAGCGGATTTCCTAAATATCTCCAAGCTGAAGACCTCAACTCACTTTAACGCCAATGGCATAGAAACACTACTCTTCATTCCCCTCTCGGATCCATTGCGTCCTGTCACGGCATAAGCTGCCTACAATCATGAAGAGCACCTGCACCGACACAAAACTGACGCAGCATTACATGACGCTGCCTGCCACCTGCCATCCTAAATCGACGATGATGATGTCGTTGAAGTACGCCAACCATATCCATGAGGTGACCAATCAGCTCTTCAAATTCTTGACGTTGCTATCGTAGTTCAGCAGCCAACGGCTGGGATTGAGCCAAAAACAGTCAAGCAGGCCCTCTATTGCTCTGATGCATCCAAATGGTGTGCAGCTATGGATGCAGAGGTAGCAGCTCTCGAGAAGCAAGAAACATGGAAACTGGTTCCACGAGAAGTAGCACACAGCAAGACAATTCTTTCGGGCAAGTGGATATTTTGCATAAAGACAAACGCAGCACGCGAACCAGACAGATTCAAGGGGAGATGGGTTGTTCGTGGTTTTGAACAAACCCACGACATCGACTACGACCAGACTTTTGCTCCGGTCAGTCGTCATCCCTTAGTTCGAATTCTTCTCGCCGTTGCCGCCAGTTGCCATGAACCACTTCTCCAGCTTGACATTAAGAATGCATTTTTATATGCAGATGTAGATGCAGATATTTTGTCAAACTACCTCACGCTTACGATGACGGTCTCCACATCTGCAAATTACTTTCGTCACTCTACGGCATCAAACAGGCTCCTCGCCTCTGGCAGCAGCATCTCCTAAAAGTTTTGATTCCACTCGACTTTGTGTAGTTGCCTCACGATCCAGGAATGTACAAACTCTAATTTTGGGGACTATATATTATTTTAATCGCCCACATCGACGACTTACTGTACACCGGCTCGTGCAACTGTCTACTTGCTTGCATGGAACAAAGAACCCAAGAGATTCTCGACATCACTATTTCCCCCAAAGTTACTCGATTTCTTGGGCTAAACTACGACATCGCCCCGATGCCATCTATGTATCTGCGAGCAAATATGCCGAAACACTTGCGAAGAAGTGCTCACTACTCCTTTTGTCACATTTCGAACGACCACACACCCAATACTACTCAACTTTACCAGCAGCAGCTCATGTGTCTTCTATTTGCAGTCGTTACCTACCGCCCAGATCTTGCTTGCATTGTTAGGATTAAGGACAGAGTCTAGGTGAACTTAGGAGCTAGAATTACTCAAAATATAAATCCGAAATTCTGGACAGAAAAGTCGTCTTCACAAGAAACGACGTCGACAAACAACTAGCCGTTGGAATGTCGCGAAACTTGGATATGTTGTAGCTCTTAATCTCAGCTACCGTTCCCAATTTGAATCATGTTGATTGATAAAGTATTCGCGACGCTATGGCTTTCGACGCACTAGGGGGTAAGCTGTAGGAGGAGAACTTAACTCAATCTCAAAGGTTCAATCAAAGTTCAAGAATCTCACAAGGAATTAGAAGGAGCAAGAGAAAGGTTGGGATAGAAGAGAGGGATGAGAGGGAAGGTCCCAAGAGAGTCCCCAACCAAGGAAACCCCATAAGCACAAAGATTCCCTCCCTATAGGAACCCCAACTTTGACATTTGTCCCTTCCCAACCAATCCATCCAAGTTGGCCACCCTTGCCAACCTAGCTTGGTTGTTCCCAACCAATTTGCAGCTGTTACAGTAGAGTGACGAATTTCCCCAACCCCAAAGGTCCCAACTCCATATAAAGTCACCCCACAACTTCACTTAGTAACCGCCGCAATTGTAACGCAAGCTCATGAACTTTGAATCTTCATAGCTTTCGCGTTCTTGCTCCGATTGAAGCGATTCTTGTTGCGTCGGAAAGATCTTCTCAAGATCTATTATCACAAATACCTGCTCAGACAGAATAACACAAAACACATTCCCAAACTCCAGAACACACCACACAAATTCTTTCACACACAGTCAAACCATACGTGCGAATTGAAACAAGGGATGGGAGGCAGACAGAATGTGATAACATATGATGACATCACACAACAATCTCCCCCTCTGGCTGCCAACCATCATCGACCATACCACATCTCAAGCATGCATACTCAATGCACACTCATCCCAGCAAGCTTCATGCCCTTCCAATGATCCGCCTCCGCCAGACGCTTAGTGAAAATATCTGCTGCCTGCTGATGGGTCTTCACTATCTCCAGCCGCACCTCCTTATCAAGGAGTCTCCTCACCCAGTGCCACTTAGGCCTTATGTGTTTTGTCAGCCCATGCAGACAAGCATTCTTGGCGAGCTTCACAGCAGACTCATTGTCACAGAACACAACTGTCGGCTCCTCCTGACCAACTCCCAACTCCTCCAACAAACGCCTTAGCCACACTACTTCCTTGGCCCCATGGTGTAAGGCCATGTACTCAGTCTCACATGAGGACAATCCCACCTCATTCTGCTTCTTGCTGCGCCAGCTCACAGCACCACCTCCTAGCAAGCACACATAACCCCCAATGCTGGTGCCATCCGCTTTCACTGAGTTGAAGCTAGCGTCAGTATAGCAACTCAAGAGCATCTTTCCACTCTTCACATCTGCAGCACCTCTCTGCAACCGCTGCCTCACTCCACTGTACTCCAATCCCACTGATGCCGTAGCACTCACATAGCGGACCAACCTCTTGGCCGCTTCCAGCTGCTCATGACTAGGGCGTGAGACCACACTAGCCAACCGTGATGTAGCAAATGCAATGTCAGGCCGTGTATGATTTGCAGGATAATTCAGCGACCCAACCATCGAATGAAACAGCTTCCTGTCACTATCACCCACTACCTCCTCATCAGCACATGGCTCCACAGTGAACCCCGAAGGTAGTGGTGTTGCTGGCTTTCCCCCATCTTGCAGCCCATACTTCTCAGCCAGCCCCTCACAGTACTTCCTCTGGTGCAACCTCAGCACACCCTTTTCCACATCTCTCTCCACGTGCATCCCCAAGTAGTACTTCGCCTCACCCATCTTGGAGCACTTGAACTGCATCTCCAGCATCTGCTCTGCGCTGTCCAGCAAAGCAGTTGATGCAGAAAAGAGAAGGATATCATCCACATACACCAAGAGCATGAGGATTTCATCCTTCTCCTGCAGCAGGAACAGGCTGGGGTCACACTCACTCTTCTTGAAACCCCCAGCCAGCAGCGCCTCCTCCAACTTGTGATACCATGCACGAGGCGCCTGCTTAAGGCCATAGATGGCCTTCTTCAGCCTGCAGACCCTGCCGCTCCCATCATCCAGCCCCTCTGGCTGCTTCATGTACACCTCCTCCAGAATGATCCCATTCAGAAAAGCAGTCACAATGTCCATCTGCCGTATCTTCCATCCCAGGAGTGCAGCTATCGCCAACAGCACCCTCAGTGTTGTTCCTTTCCCCACAGGAGCAAACACCTCATCATAGTCCTTCCCCTTTGTCTGCTGAAACCCCCGTGCCACAAGCCTAGACTTGTAGCGGGTCAGCTCCCCTTCAGGTCCATACTTGTGCCTGTAGATCATCTTGGAAGTGATTGCCTTCTTTCCAGGAGGCAAGTCACACAGGTCCCATGTCTCGTTCTCAATTAGGGACCCGAACTCCTCATCCTCACTCGCCTTCCACTTCTCCCCATTTGGTCCATTCAAGGCCTCTTCTCGAGTCTTGGGCTCAGGGATTGGTGCCCAGTAGCAGTGAGCGATCTCATCTTCCTCAATCTGCTCAACCACACTCCCAGCCTGCACCACATTTGGCTTGCCTCTTCCCCCATAGGTCAGCCTCACAGGAGGGCGCACATCCCTCCTAGGTCGCTCAGGCGGGTGTGGAACTCGAGGTGGAGACTCATGTTGCTGTTGCTGCTCCACTTCAGCTGCTCCCCCTTCTTCAGTCACCCCAGATATCTCCTCCTCAGACACTGCAACCTCCACCTGCCTTGAAGGCTGCTGCAACTCATCTGCCTCCACAATGAGTGGTGTAGATGGAAGCTTCTGTTGCTGCTGCTTCCATTCCTTATAGTACAGGGACTCAAGAAACTTCACATCCCTTGACACTGTCAGCTTCTGGATGGTCAAGTCCCATAGAAGCCATCCCTTGTGATCCTTTGCAATCCCCAAGTGCACACCCCATCTTCCAGAAGCCTCCAACTTCCCTCTTTTCTCCTTAGGCACATGAAACACCACCATGCACCCAAATGCCCTCAGCATGTTCACAGCTGGAGCACTCCCATACCACTTGACGTATGGGATCCACTCCTTATCCCCAACTGTAGCCAGCACTCTATTCTTCACAAGGGCGACCTGCCTCAGTGCAGACACCCAAAACGGATCAGGCAGCCCTGCACGCCCAAGGAGAGTGCGTGCCCCCTCCTGCAGGGTCCTGTTGAACCTCTCAGCCACGCCATTCTGCTGTGGGTTGTAGGGCACTGTCAGTTGATGCTGGATCCCCTTCCTCTTCAACTCCCCCTCAAAATCAGCTCCAATGAACTCCCCACCATTGTCACTACGGATCACCTTCACCTTGTGTCCGCATTCCCTCTGAGCTCTCGGCATCCACTCTTTAAGGACAGCCGCTGCCACCTCCCCCTTGCTCTTCAAAGGGTAAACCCACACTGCCCGAGTGTGGTCATCCACAATTGTCAAGAAATAGCGGCTGCCTGAGAGGGAAGGGGCTCTTGTGGGCCCCACCACATCCATGTGCACAAGTGCAAGTGGGGTCTTGGCTGGTCCTGTAGTGCTGTTGAAGGGGAACTTGGAGAACTTGGTCTCCAAGCATGTAGGGCAGCTCCCAATCTCCTTCACTTCCCCTTTCACCTCCAAGCCCTTCAGGCTCCCATTCTTCACCAACTTCTGCAGCATAGGGAAGTTCACATGACACAACCTCTCATGCCATGTCTCCCAATCGGCCTCTCCACTCCTTGGTGAAGCCTTAGCCCATGCCGCACTTGCATCCACACCAGCAAGCACCTCACCATGTGTCTGCTGCTGCTGCACTTTCTTGACTGCTTCCAGGACCCCATCAGTTGGTGCAGTTGCATCTCCTCCTGCTGTTGCCTTTGCCACTGCTGCCGTTGCTGCTGTTGGAGTCTTCCCATTCCAAGGGATGATGGGCAGCTGCCACAGGTCCTTGATGCAGCTGGTCTCCTCTTCCAGACTCCACAGCACCTTCTTCCCAAGCTTAGCACGGCAGCTGGTTGGTCCAAAGGTCACTTCGGCCTTGCTCTTCTGCAGTCGTCGCACAGAGAGAAGGTTAGCAGACAAGCCTTCAACCAGCAGAACATTCCCAAGCCCCACAAGCTCCCCATTAGCTCCCTTAACCTTGGCATTCCCAACACCAATCACGGGGAGCAAAGCACCTGACGCTGCTGCCACATACTTAATCTTCCCAGGGGGTTTTACCTCATCAAGCAAATCTGCCCGTGGGGTCATGTGACTGGTGCAACCCGAATCAATCACCCAGTGCGTGAGAGGGTGCATCACAACCTTTCCCACAAATCCCACATCACCCTCATGCCCATGCACATCCTCAACCATAAGAAACAAACCAGGATAGGCATTACCTTGTGCACCTTCACCTTGTGCACCTGAGCCTTGCACAGCGCCACCTTGTGCGCGTTCACCACTGGGTGGCTTCATGCCTGGAGGTGCCCATCCCTCCGGCCTGCTGAAGCACTTGAACCAAGGATGCCCTATCTTCTTGCAGTACCAGCAGGTGCCCTCCATTCTGGTACTCCCCCTGCCACTAGAGCTCCCATGCCCCTCATTATAGTCACCTCGGCCTCTACCTCTGCCAAAGCTCCTCCCACGGCCTCGGCCTTTCCAACCCCCTCTTCCTCTGCCGCGCCCTGCAGCTCCATACCCCTCAGCAGTCTTAGTGGCAGCACCGCCTCCCACATGGCGTCTGCGGAAGTCCTCCTGCAGAATCTGCTGCCTTAGCCACTCAGGTGTCCATTGATCTTGTTGAGAGTTGAGGGTGGGGATGAGGTTGTCCCAAGAGTTGTCCAACACCGAGATGATCTTGGTGCACTGCTGCAGCTGAGATACACTGCTGCCCGCTGCTGCCATCCTTGCATAGGTGTCCTTGATCTTGTCAAGGACCGGCTTCACATCGTCCCCTGGTCGCATGGAGATGGCAGCAAGTTCCTTCTCGAGCACGATCACCATCAGGAGAGTGTTGGGCTGAATCACATCGCGTAGTAGTTTCCACGCCCTTGGACCCGAATCATCCGCTTCCACAAGATCCTTGATGTGCTCGAACATCTCCTTGTTGACCGATTGAAGGATGAGGTCGAAAAGCACCGTGCTTTTCTCAATCCACCGTTCACGTGCTTCGCCTTCTTCCGGCATCTTCTCTTCCCCAACAGCAATCTTCAGTAGCTTGTAGCGTTTGAAGGCACTCCTCATCCGTCCGCTCCATTCCTCATAGTTGGAGCCATCCAAAGCTTCAACTTTTGATGGCGGCGGCTCACTTGTCTTCTCAGGTACAGCTCCTCTTCCATTAGCATCTCCTCCTCTCTCATTCATCTTCTCCTTGAGAAATGACGAATTTCAGCTCCCCTTTGCTGTCCACACTCAGCTCCCTCGATATTTTCACAAGTGTCGGCGTCCACGAAATTTCGGCAGAGTTTCCCCTTAGCGGAAGACACATCCAACCTTTAGAACACCACTTAGGCACACCCACAGGCCATGGTGGGTCTAGAAGGGTCTTCAAACTTCTGTAGACTCCTCTCAATGTCCTTAATATTGCTCTGATACCACTTGTTAGGATTAAGGACAGAGTCTAGGTGAACTTAGGAGCTAGAATTACTCAAAATATAAATCCGAAATTCTGGACAGAAAAGTCGTCTTCACAAGAAACGACGTCGACAAACAACTAGCCGTTGGAATGTCGCGAAACTTGGATATGTTGTAGCTCTTAATCTCAGCTACCGTTCCCAATTTGAATCATGTTGATTGATAAAGTATTCGCGACGCTATGGCTTTCGACGCACTAGGGGGTAAGCTGTAGGAGGAGAACTTAACTCAATCTCAAAGGTTCAATCAAAGTTCAAGAATCTCACAAGGAATTAGAAGGAGCAAGAGAAAGGTTGGGATAGAAGAGAGGGATGAGAGGGAAGGTCCCAAGAGAGTCCCCAACCAAGGAAACCCCATAAGCACAAAGATTCCCTCCCTATAGGAACCCCAACTTTGACATTTGTCCCTTCCCAACCAATCCATCCAAGTTGGCCACCCTTGCCAACCTAGCTTGGTTGTTCCCAACCAATTTGCAGCTGTTACAGTAGAGTGACGAATTTCCCCAACCCCAAAGGTCCCAACTCCATATAAAGTCACCCCACAACTTCACTTAGTAACCGCCGCAATTGTAACGCAAGCTCATGAACTTTGAATCTTCATAGCTTTCGCGTTCTTGCTCCGATTGAAGCGATTCTTGTTGCGTCGGAAAGATCTTCTCAAGATCTATTATCACAAATACCTGCTCAGACAGAATAACACAAAACACATTCCCAAACTCCAGAACACACCACACAAATTCTTTCACACACAGTCAAACCATACGTGCGAATTGAAACAAGGGATGGGAGGCAGACAGAATGTGATAACATATGATGACATCACACAACATGCATTAGGAGTCAGCTCGCACAGTACCTGCGCTGACCCGAGGGAGGGAATATGGCTGATCTTCGTCTAGCCCTCAAATATTTCATTTCGACTCATACAATCGGTCTCAGCTACACGATAAATACCACAACAACTTTCGACTGACAGGATATGTTGATGCAGATCACGCTGCTGACCCTGACAACAGGCGTTCACGTACAGGGTTCATCTTCAAGCTTGAACCGGGTGGTGTCATTTCCTGGAACTCAACAAAATAGGAGGTCATCGCACTTTCGTCAGCCGAAGCAGAATTCATCGCAACAATTTCTGCAGCATGCGAATGACTCTATCTTCAAGAGTTACTTCAGGAGGCGAAAATCGCAACAACTCAAAACTTCAAGTTACTGTGCGATAACGAGAGCGCAATCAAGATTGCAAACAAGCCTGGCTTTGTCAACACGACAAAACATATCGCCCTCCGTTGCAAGAACAGTCATATCACTCAAATAGTCGCGATACTATACATCCCGAATAGATACTTCTTCAACCATGCATATGCCTGTTTTATCCAACTTATTTCAGAGATTTCCATTGCAAGGTGTAAATTCTTCCACTGACTTTACTCTTGGTTCCACCAACTCTAGATCGTGACCACCCTAAACACGTGGTTTACTCCAACACACTACACTAGTGAAACTGGGTTATACCATATTGCATCGGATAAGCGCCCCTAGGGGAATGCAGGGGACTGGTTTGAATTGTTGGGGGGTGTTTATTTGAGTAAAATGTATCCGCCCATGGTTGTTTAAAATGGAATATATCCCCATTGTTTCTTTTTTCATCAGATTGTAGCTTTTGGTTTGTTTCATGCAACAGGATATTTCTTTACAGAGATTTCCGGGTCAGTCGTGTTGAAAGGTCCTGTCGGCAATGTGCCAGCCTAGCAACAGGCATATTTTACGCGAATCTCGCTGGCGCAAAGTGCCAAGGGGGCACAACTTGCAGGTCTGGCTGGCACGCAGCGAGAAATTTCGCCATTATATCTGAACTCGTTCATTCAATCTGGTGCAGTGTTCTACGAAATGAAAGGGGTCGTATACGGTCCATGTTTTCTAAAAAGTAGGAGGGGGGGCATTCAATCGGATAATAGCTATAAGGCCCAAAGCACGAGATAAAGTCCGTAGGCCTTATCCTAATGAGTGGTGTATATCTGGGGGAATACGGTTAAAGGCTACAATATGCCAACCAGAATCTGCGTCTGTCGAAGACAGGGGATCTGGGTGACTTGGGTTGGGTGGGCAGGTAATGAGCTATGGAAAATATGAAAACGTGGGTGGAGACCTCCAACCACTTCGGAGAAGTGGGACAACCGCGCTTCGAAGATGGCAAAATTGTGTTACAGGGAGCTTCATATTCACAATACCCAAATAAGCAAGCGTTAACGATTAAAATTTTGCATTTTGAGAGAACTTGCTTCTTGTTTAGGCCCCAAATTATCTGGATGAAATTGTTAGTGTTCATATATATGCTAGGTGTATATTCACTGTAGCCTAGGTAGGTTCAGATTCTAGAGAGTACATCACCTAGATACTGTTATGGGGTAGTTTACTGTTCACAAGGTATTTACACTGACAGCACTGTTCATCCCATCCCAACCTTATCTCATCACAATCCAGCTCAGATTTCCAACTGCCACGTGGCTCTCTTTTTCGCCACGTAATCCCATTCTGTCCCACAAACCATTTTCCCACAACCGTTCTTGCCTGCTATATATAACTTGCTTGTATTCACCAATATCATCAATCATTACCCAATTACTTCTTTGCATACTTCGCCAACAACTTCTTCGCCAAAGTCTTCCGCCGCGCTTTTTCCTCGATTTAACCAACTTCGCTATTCTCTATCGGATCTAGGCCAAGCGGCCTAACAATACAAACTCTGCCATGTTCATGCTTGAGTCATCCTTTCTCTCACGTCGATATGGTATCGCGCTAGGTCAGTTCCTAGCCTCCATGCTTATGCCCTAGGTGCTCCCCCACTCAACTCCCGCCCTAGCTTACTCTCTTAGACTAGGTTAGGCCCTAGTCCACCACCCCAGTCTGCGCCCTAGCCCTAGCTCGCGCTCGCCTGCCCGTTGCCGCTTGCCGCCCACTACCGCTCGCCACCTGCTGCCGCTCGTGCTTGAGCTACCCGCTGGCCGCCTGCCTGCTCGCGCCGCGCGCTGCCTACCACGCGCCGCGCGCTGCCTACCACTCGCCGTTTCCGCCCGCTGGCTGCCGGCCCCCTGCTGGCCGCCTGCCCGCCGCCTGCCGCTGGCCGCCTACCGCTGGCCGCCTACTGCTGGCCGCCTGCCGCTGCCGGCCGCCTTCCGCTGCTGCCCCCTGCCGCTCGCCACTGTCGCCTGCCGCTCGCCACTGCCGCTTGCCACTGCAGCTCGCCACCACCACCTGCCGCTGGCCGCCTGCGACCTACCGCCAGCCGCAAGCTGGCAGCTGCCAGCCGCCAGCTGCCAGCCGCCACGCACCAGCTGCTAGCCAGAGCCGCTAGCTGCCAGCTACCAGCTGGCCCCCCACCTTCCGGCCTCCAACCGCCAGCTGCCAGCCGCCAGCCACCAGCTGTTTGCCGCCAGCCGCAGCCACTGGCTACCAACTGCCAACCGCCACCTGCCAGCCGCCAGCCGCTAGCCACAGCCGCCAGCTACCTGCCACCAGCCGCCCCTCCAGCTGCCGGCCGCCAACCGCCAGGTGCCAGCCGCCAGCCGCCAGCCGCCGGCTGCAGCCACCAGCCGTTAGCCACTAGCCACCAGCCGCCAGACACCCAGTGCCAGCTGCCGGCCATCAGTCGCTGGCCAGCCTCAGCAGCTAGCTGTGCCTCAGCTGCCGCAGCCACCAGTGCATTCATCGCTGCTGCACCCGTTGGAGCTGCCACTCGACCTGTCGCTGGCTCTACCACTACCGCTACTGTCAGGTCTGCTGCCATGCGTTGCTCCTACCGGCCCCTGCCCCTGTTTAGGTCCGTCTGACCCCTGGTCCTCTTGCCGCCATGACGACCCCTTCAGCGCCAGTGTTTCTACTTCGGCTGGATGACGAGGGACGCATGGTGGGCTTCTCAGCATAACTTCTAACTCTCAGCCGACAGCGGATGAGCCAGCGTGTGGACGGCGAGTCGCTGGAGGCCTACGTGACTGGTGAGCTGCCTCCCCTCCCCCCTGCTCTGCTGCCCTTGACCCCAAGGCGATGTCGACGCAGTGTGTGGAGTACACAGCTGCCAGGTTCGCCCTCTCTGTTTGGTGGTCTCGCGACGCAACTGCACTGGCACCACGACTCTCCCTTGTTCCACCTATCCCATCCGGCTCCCTTAGTGGCTTGCATATCCCCATTTTTATCAGGTACTTGGTTGGTGTTGGTCATATTCAAGACCTCGGTGTTACCACCACGTTCTCGGCCAAGCTAGGTACAGTATGCAGCCTGTATAGATGCAACCACGGGCGCTCGTCTCACCACCTTTGACCGCGACCCTGCATCCAGTCTCTTCACACTGCACTCACAGCCCCCCCAGGTAGCCGCGTCCTCCCAGGTTGCCGCTTCCTGATCCTCTCGCTCCCTCACCCACTCGGCACTCCTATGGCACCATTGCTTAGGTCACCCTGATCTCCCCATGGCACAGTCTAGTCAACGGTCTCCCCGTGTTAGTAGCCCACGCGTGCACCTCCTACGTCGAGGGTCGGCAGTGTGTCGCCCCTCAATCCTCCTCATTTCCTCCAACCACTGCTCCAATCTAGACTCTGCACATGGACGTCTGGGGCCCTGCCCCGGTCCAAGGACCTCACAGGGAGCACTACTTCCTGGTTGTTGTCGACGACTTCTCACGACGTACCACGGTGTTCCCATTGGAGCAAAATGCAGATGCATCTGGCGCCCTCCTCCCGTGGCTCCGCGTCGTCCACACCCAGCACTCCCTGCCCGTGCTTGGTCTTGACTCCAACCATGGTGGCAAGTCTGCCTTCGGTCATCTTGGCGCGTCCTGCCGTGCGGAGGGCATCACCCAGACGTTCACCCTCCCGGACTCGCCGCAGCAGAATGGGGTAGCTGAGCGATGCATTAGCCTAGTCATGGAGGTGGCCTTCACCTGCATGGTCCATGTGGTGCCCCCCATTTTCTGTGGCTGTTCGAGGTACGGTATGTGGCTCACCACCTTAGCCAATGGTCTCACTCCTCACGACCACAGCTTTCGCCGACCCCTTTTTTGAACAAGGTCCCCTAGTGACGCGTCTGCGTTCCACGTTTGGGGCTGCCTGGCTCATGTCCGCGACACCAGCGCGAAAAAACTCTCGGCCTACACCCTCCTCTGTGTCGTCCTCGGGTTCCCGCTCGATGCTCTAGACTAGCTGTTCTACCACCGAGTGGACCGGCACGAGACCACACCTGCACCAAGGCTGAAGTAGAAGCCCTATGAGGACCTGACCATCTCCAAGTCGGCAGCCCACGACACGTCTGCATGTCTAGTGAGGACCACTGGCTCCCGTCCTCCTAGTACAAGCCCCAGTCCTGATGTACTCGCCAGATACCGCAATACCCTCTTAGCAGCCGACCGTGCTCTGGTCGGTGTCAACCAGTCAAAACGAAGCGAGCAAGGATACTGAAAGGGTATGCTAGATCTGGACGAGCGCACATAATCAGGTTCATTAGACACCCCACTAGCTCTGCGTATGGACCACATGGCTCGACCTGCTCACCGGAAACAAGAGCTAAGAGCATGTGGTCCACAGGCAGGGGAGTGGGCTGTGCTGACAAGAACTGAAGGCCAAACCTCTGGAGGATCTGCTTTATCATGTGGGACTGGGAGGATGTGACCGTGCGCGTTGCAGGGTCACAAGAGATCTCCAAGCCCAGATAGCACCACAAATCTCCCTAGTTTGTGCAGGCATGTCACCTGAGTAGCTCAGCCTTCACAGAGGCAAGTGCGACTTAATGTGTTGTAGCAAAGAT